ACTGACAGGAATGTAAGACGTTTAAATATGACCTGGTTCAGGCACGGCTTCAGAGGAAACGCGTTTGCACTACAGACGCCAGTCCCCTACCTCAATGTGCACTCAGGGATGTTGTTTTCGCAGTGGATGCCATTGAACCCGGGCACACACTTGCACACGTAGCTGTTGACGTAGTCTTTGCACGTGGCGCCGTTCCGGCAGGGGTTGCTGGCACACTCGTCCACTTCCGCCTGGCAGCGGTCGCCGTGGAAACCCGGCAGGCAGCTGCAGGAGAAGCTGTTGACCTTGTCGATACAGGAGCCTCCGTTCTGACAGGGGCCTGGGAAAACAAGGACACACGCATCAGCGCACGGGATCCTGGGGGAGCGCGGCTCTCACTCTGGTGTCCAGTGTAGGTGCACCACGACAGCTGCAGCGGTCAAGCAAGGCAGGATGGGAGTGGGCGCTCTGGTCATCTCAGTCACAGAAAGATAGCCGGCAGGTGCCGGGGGTCTGTGGCTGAGGATCTGCGCCTGCGGCTGGAAGGCTGCCGGTTTGGATCCCACGGCCGGCAGAGGAATCCTACTCCGTTGGCCCCCTGAGCAAGGCCCTTCACCCCAACTGCTCCAGGGGTGCCGTATAAATGGCTGACCCTGTGCTCTGACCCCCAGCTTCTCTCCATGTCTGTGTGTCTCATGGAGAGCCAGTTGGGGTGTGCGAAAAGACAAATTCCTAATGCAAGAAATTGTATATGGCCAATAAAGTGATCTTATTTTATCTATCTTATCTCTTAGCCAGGTTCTCTGAAATAGCGGCACGGCCATCACCTGTTAGGCAGGCTGCCTGTCTCATCAGCTGAGGGCGACAGAGACCTTGACCGCACTCCCAGAGGCAGCCTTGGACAGAACGGGTTATGCCTCAGCTAGAGAACGCCAAGGGGCTGGCGGTGTCTAACTGCACGAGTGTGAGTAGCGCCTCAGAGCAAGGGCTTGACACAGGGCAGAAACTGGGACGTGTTTCAGAAGCAGCACATGGAGCCAAGGACCTGCAATGGCAGGGGTCTGTGGGAGGGGGCGCTGATTTGGGTTTACCCAACAGGAGACGTTGTGTTGTTTGAAGTGTGCTTAAAGAGGAACTTTCACTCTTCTTAAAGAGTTTCCAGAGTTTCCGTCTCATTCTGGAGCTTCGCAGTTTAACGGCGCAGTCCTCCGTGACTGGGCTCCCATAACCTGACCCATTGTAGGTCAGGAGCGTACATGCTGCCTGTAGGGTACAATCTTTTCATCTGATTGCCTCTTCTTTTTTTATTCTCGGGCTATAATGTAATCACACCATAATCAGAAGTGCTCATATGTGGTGTTGACCATGAAAGGGCAAAGAGTTGGGTACAGACGGGTTTGACCGGCTGTGTGTGGACGGGCACTCACTGGGCGTGCAGTCGTCAATGTTGGTCTCGCAGTTGGGCCCGCTGTAGCCCTGCCGGCACTGGCACTGGTAGCTGCCCAGAGTGTTCTTGCACTGGGCGCCGTTCTGGCAGGGCCTTGAGACGCACTCGTTGACATCCTGCGTGCACTGCTGACCTGCAAACACCCACAGACGCGCAACAGCAAGTGAGCAGACCCCTCGCCGCCATTTCCTGTGTCCACACACACACCTCGTCACAGTTCTTACGGGCCCCTCACAGGCGCAAAGACGTGTCTGCAGGACCACGCCCTCTTCTGTCTCGTTCTCACGCACGCACACACTTCGTCGCAGTTCATACGGGCCCCTCACAGGCGCAAAGACATGTCTGCAGGACCTCTTCTGTCTCGTTCACACGCACGCACACACTTCGTCACAGTTCTTACGGGCACCTCACAGGCGCAAAGACGTGTCTGTAGGACCGAGCCCTCTTCCGTCTCGTCCACACACACACACGCACGCCAAGACGTTCATCATACCCACCTTGCCAGCCGCTGCCACACAGGCAGGTGTAGCTGGTATAGTCTGCAGACTCCTGGCAG